GAGGGTGGGGGAGGGGAGGGTAAAGGGGAAAGAGCAACCAAAGGACTTACATGCAGGCATAGAGGCCTAACCAATGGACACGGACAACGGGGGGGTGGGGGTGGTGGTTGGAGGGTGAGTGGGGACAGGGACACATATGTAATATCTTAATCAATAAAAAATATATTAAAAAAAAAGAAAATAAAAAAAATAGAGCAGAAAGAATAGTACATAATAATCTAAGAGAACCCTAAAATAATACAGGAGGAAAAAATATTAAAAAGAGATGACTTTTAGTGTCCTTGCTTCTTGCTGACAAGCCATGAAAAATATACCAACGACATTTTCAAAACTATTAGAATTCTGTGAAACAAAAAAGAAACTCATGGCCCGAACCAATATGCTCAATTGATATTTGACAAAGGAGGCAAGAACATATAATGGAGCCAAGATAGTCTCTTCAATAAATGGTGTTGGGAAAATTGGACAGATATATGCAAGAAAATGAAACTAGACCACCAACTTACACCATACATAAAAATAAACTCAAAATGGATAAAGGACTTAAATGTACGACAGGAAACCATAAAAATTCTAAAAGAATCCAAAGGCAACAAAATCTCAGACATATGCCGAAGCAATTTCTTCAGATACAGCTCCTAGGACACTTGAAACTAAAGAGAAAATGAACAAATGGGACTACATCAAAATAAAAAGCTTCTGCACAGCAAAAGAAACCATCAACAAAACAACGAGAAAACCCACTGTGTGGGAAAACATATTTGCCAATGTCATATCTGATAAGGGCCTAATCTCCAAAATTTATAGGGAACTCATACAACTTAACAAAAGGAAGATAAACAATCCAATCAAAAAATGGGCAAAGGACCTAAATAGACACCTTTCAAAAGAGGACATTCAGAAAGCCAAGAGACATATGAAAACATGCTCAAAGTCCCTAATCATCCGAGAGATGCAAATCAAAACAACAATGAGGTACCATCTCACACCTGTCAGACTGGCTATCATCAACAAATCAACAAACGACAAGTGCTGGAGAGGATGTGGAGAAAAAGGAACACTTGTACACTGCTGGTGGGAATGCAGACTGGTGCAGCCACTATGGAAGACAGTATGGAGTTCCCTCAAAAAACTGAAAATGGAACTCCCATTTGACCCTGTGATCCCACTTCTAGGAATATATCCCAAGAAACCAGAAACACCAATCAGAAAGGATATATGCACCCCTATGTTCATAGCAGCACAATTCACCATAGCTAAGATCTGGAAACAGCCTAAGTGCCCATCAGTAGATGAATGGATTAGAAAACTGTGGTACATCTACACGATGGAATACTATGCTGCTCTAAAAAGGAAGGAACTCTTACCATTTGCAACGGCATGGATGGAACTGGAGAGCATTATGCTAAGTGAAATAAGCCAGTCAATGAAGGAAAAATACCACATAATCTCACTCATTCATGGATAATAGAGACCCTTATAAACATTTGAACAATAATAGATACAGAGGCAGAGCTGCCTCAAACAGATTGTCAAACTGCAGCGGGAAGGCCAGGGAGGGTTGGGGGGCAGGAGGCAGGGGGGTAAGAGATCAACCAAAGGACTTGTATGCATGCATATAAGCATAACCAATGGACATAAGACACTGGGGGATAGGGGAGGCTAGGGGACTGTCTAGGGCGGGGGAAAAAAATGGACACATATGTAATACCCTTTGTAATACTTTAAGCAATAAAAAAAAAAAAAGATTAAAAAAAAAAAGAAACTCAAAAGACCTGTCCTTCAAAATAGACTGACGGAATCTTAGAAAATTTGACATACTTTTCCAGAAACAAGAGAATCCTGAGTCCAGCTTTGACATAGATACTTTTATGGACAGGGTAAAACTATCATAGCCCAAAAATAGGTGTTTATTCATACATACCTATAAGCATCATACACATCATAAGAGATACAGTAAGAGGTGTACAACTCTATTTTCACTTAGTCTAGCAGCATACTCTGAGAGAAATGAAGCTTGAAACCAAAAAGAAAACTTTCATGAAAAAAAGTTAAAAATCCTTGCCAGGGTTTAACTTTATCCAAGAAGGTATAACTCTTGGGGGATTTCAGACAAAGATTAATCTGTGGAGGGCTGGTACATAAACATGCTAACTGGAAGACATGTGGGAATTATAGCTAACATTTACTGAGCACTTACTATCTTCCAGGCATTATTCCAAGTTTTTTATATGGATTAATTAATCTTCAACATGGTATGAGATAGGCATTTTATTGTTCCACTTTATATCCAAGGAATTGAGGCACAGAGAAATTAACTTACCCAACTGTCAAGTTAACAGTGTCTAGTCAAAACCAGTTTGGCTCCTAAGCCCAAGTTTTTAATCACTAGGCAAAGAAGAAGGTTCCACAAATATGCATCATACACTGTATACTCCCTGGGGTGGGGGTAGGGGAGCACTAAGATGCAGGCTTTGGCCACCCCTGTTTAAGTGATTGACAATAAGAATGTACAGACTTAGGTAATTAAAAAAATGTTATAATCTCATCAATTTAGTCACACTTTTTACTGGGCTTTCTATGGAATTCCATTTGATTGCCACCTGACATAAAATCTGCACTTGCCTAATGAATGGGATCCCTATGGTGAGTCTAACATCACAGCAGCTGGCAGTATTTGGAGAGCAAGAAAAGGTCATTAATACTGATAGGTCATGACACACATATTCTCTATCCAAACACCAGTAAGCTTCAAGACCCACCCTAGACTTGTTTTAGTATGGTCGCTGGTTCTCAGATCCCCATCTTCAAATATGGTTGTATCCTTTCTTAGCTTAAGTTAATCCATAGTACTGAAAATTTCTCAACAGTGAAAAGGAAGAAAGTGGTGAAAGTTCAGAATGAAGATAAGACAAAGACAGAAACTAATTACTCACACTAATAGTATGCCACCCTTGGCAACCTTTTACAGATTGGCCATACATATGCTATTAATAGCTTATTATTATAATTTTATTTCTTACCCATCAAACAAGTTCTTTTCCATCTTCTTCCATTATTCCCTGGTCATTGATTAGGTTTCCTCTTCTCTATTACCTACGGAGGAAAACAGTCAGTAAGGATGGGCTAATATATGGCAAGAGAAAAGCAATTTCATGAATTTTATTTATAAATATAAAAAAAGAATCAGTATATTACAATGCAGCTTAATGAATTCCCTTAAGTACTCAACATTAAAGCAAAAGAGTAAAAACAGCTGTAGTCTTTTTTCAGCTAAGAACAACCAAAGATTCAGTTACTTATGAATAAACTGATCCATAAATGAAAGTATGAAAGGTTTATGTCCTGAAAAAGAACACTTCTGCATTTGCTTTAGATTTTAAAGATTATACATGGTCAGAGATCCAAGATGGTGGCAGACAGGACGGCAGTGAAAGAGAATGCGAGCGTGTGAGGACTCTAGATCTAAACCCACAGTCATGGGAGGCTATGCCCAGAAAGGCAGCCTGAAGTTCTGCACCGGCCGTGAAGGGTCGGGGAGACAGAGACATGCAGCGGTGCAGTTGCTCTGTCTTTATAATGTCCTTGCTTTTACCCGCTAAACCCAGGATCTTTCAATCACAAACACTCACCGGGGCTGCGATGCAGGGGAAGGTGGGTTTATGGAAGCTGGGGAGCAAAATAGAGAGAGGCGACCAGGAAGCCAGCTCTGGGACAGTCGGTTCCCTCCAACCCTGAACAGGCATTTTTCTCCTGGAGACCAGGCCCCTCTTAGCAGCGCAGGTGCACCAGCCTTAAGCTCAGCAGGGAAATAAAGAGTCAAAATATCCCCAGGGAGCCCTGGGGGACTGGGTTGAGGGGCCATTTGGTCCCAGAAACTAATACAGAAACACCAGCACCTAGAGGCTGTGTCAGAAATAGACGCTTGTGTAAATACGACTGAAAGCAGGCAGAAAAACAAAGCTGGCAGATTGATCCTGCCTGCCTGAAACCAAGGCTGTGGCGTCTGACGCAGAGGAGCGGTGGATCGCTGGGAGCTTCAACACGGTGGCTGACTATCTAGCAGGAAGCTGAGAAGTGGCCGACAGAACAGTGGAGAGGGGTCTTAGACCAGCCCCCATGGGACATTAAATACTTAGCTGAAGCGAACGAACTTCACTACTTCACTTTGTTTTTTTTTAATCTTTTACTTAAAAAACTAAAATTTTTTCTTTTATTTATATATATTTTTTTATTTTTATTTATTATTATTTATTACTATTATTATTACTGTAGAATCCATCAGCCTGGCCTGCGGGTATTGGGCCGAGGCCAGCAGTCCGACATCCCCCAAGGGGTCCCAGAGTGTGAGAGGGCACTCTGCAAAGTTGTTGTTGCTTGGCAGCTCCTGCATTGAGGGTCTGCCTCCTGGTAGTCAAGTGTGCGTCATAGCTACCAGCTGGTTGGCCAATCGCTTAAGCTTTTATATAGATTACCAGAGACCCAGTGCATGAAATTCATGCAAGGAGATCAGCCCCACAGCTCCGGCTTCATCCTGAATGTCGTCCAGTCTAATTAGCGTATCATGCTTTTATGATTATAGATTTTTAAAAATTTTATTAGTGTTCTACATTCTATTTTTATTTTATTATTATTTAACATTATTTTACTCTATCTCATTTTTCCGTTAGGACAACACTTTCTTCCTCACTTCCCCCCTTTCCATCCTGTTTCTCTTCTCCTGTACCTGCTTTAGTTTTTCTCTCTTCTTTTTTACTCATTGATAAAAATTGATCTTCTTTATCTGTTCTATTGATGCATTACTATTTTAGTAGTCTCCATTGGCTTACTCATATATCTAATTTCCTTTCCTCTGCTCCAAGTCTATGCACCCTTCTCTTTTCTCTTTCTTCCCTAGCCAATTTTTTTCTTCTTGTTGTTTGTTTAATTTTTTTGTTTTTGCTTTTTATTTTATGAATTTGTTTTTCCTCTCCTCGCTTGTTCTCTTCTTCTACTAATAGCTTAATTAGTTTCACTCACCAAACTCAGGACTATCTGTGCCCTGCTCTATTCTCCTTTTCCAAAAATAGATGAATATATAGATTACAGAAAGGGGAAATTTTTTTTTGAGTATTTCGTTTTTTACTTTTCATCTTACACACACATTCTCTTTCTAACTCCTCTATACTGAATCACGGCCATTCCCCCATTCATTCAATTCCTTTACTTTACCTTCTGGAAATAAGCTCTGCCTTTTCAGATTCATCTCCTTTTTTCCCAGGTGACTGTTGTTTGCATTTTTTGGTTTAGTTTTTGTTTTGTTAATCCCCCCCCCCCCATATATGTATATTTTTCTTTCCCCTTCTTTTTTCTTCTTTTTCTTTTCTCTCTTACCTGTTTTCCTTTTCTCAGTATCATTTTTGTGCTCTGTTCTCTCCCATAAGTCTCTTTTCTCTGGTGGTCATCTTTGTTTGGGGTTATCAGTGTCGTGAATACACTTGTGTTTTGTTCCCTCTGTGTTGCCTTGTCAAGTTGTATTTTGTGCCTTTTAGTCAATGTGGTAGAGAGTGAGCCACATAACCAGACACCCTGAGAGGAGTGAAAATGGGAAGACAAAGGAACAGCCCCCATACAAAAGAAAAGGAGGAATCACCAGAAAATGAAGTTAATGAAATGGAGGCAAGCAATTTGTCAGAGACAGAATTCAGAGCAATGGTCATAAGGATGCTGAAAAGGATGGAAGACAAATTCAACATGTGTAAGAATCAAGAGGAAATGAAGAAGAACCAAGAGAAATGAAGAATGACATAGCTGCAATAAAGAACACAATAGAAAGCATCACTATCATTAACAAATCAACAAACAAGTGTTGGAGAGGATGTGGAGAAAAAGGAACCCTTCTGCACTGCTGGTGGGAATGCAGACTGGTGCAGCCACTGTGGAGAACAGTATGGAGCTACCTCAAAAAAAAAACCCCAGAAGGAAAGTAGGGGAGGGCAGGGGTAAGGGGAAGAGATCAACCGAAGGACTTGTATACATGTATATAAGCCAAACCAATGGACATGGACAACAGGGGGATGGGATTGTGAGTGTGCGGGGCGGGGGGAGGGGGAGGTTGGGATTTATGGGGGTGATGAGGACACATTTGTAATACCTTAACTAATAATAATAATAATAAAAAATAGAAAGCATCAACAGTAGGCCAGAAGAAGCTAAGGACCATATCAGTGAGCTAGAAGAACAAGGTAGGAAAAAACACCCAAATAGAGCAGCAACTGGAAAAAAAAACTTAAAAAACAGGAGGAGAACCTAAGGGAGCTTTGGGACAACACAACAACATCTGCATAATAGGGGTTCCAGGGGTAGAGGAAACTGAACAAGGAATAAAAAACCTATTTGAAGAAATAATGACAGAAAACTTCCCTGATATTGGGAAGAAAAACCCCACACAAGTCCAAGAAGTTCACAGAGTCCCAAACAAGATGAACCCAAAAAGACTGACACCAAGGCACATCATAATTAAATTGCCAAACACAAACAACAAAGTAAGAATCTTAAAGGCTGCCAGACAGAGACAGAAAGTTACATACAAGGGATCTCCCATTAGACTATCAACTGGTTTCTCAACAGAAACACATCAGGCCAGAAGGGAATGGAATAAAATATACAAAGTCATGCAAAACAAGGGACTAAAGCCAAGAATACTATACCCAGCAAGGCTATCATTCAAAATAGAAGATGAAATCAGGAGCTTCACAGACAAAAATGGCTAAGGGAGTTTATTACCACCAAACCAGCAATGCAAAAAAATGCAAAAGGGACTGTTGTAAAAAGAACAGAAAGGAAAGGAGGAACACAGTGTAAAGAATAAAAACGGCAACAAACAAGTACCTATCAATAATAACCTTAAATGTAAATAGATTAAATGCTCCAATCAAAGGACATAGGGTAGCTGAATGGATAAGAAAACATGACCCATATATCTGCTTTCTACAAGAGACCACCTCAGAACAAAGGACCCACACAGATTGATAGTGAAGGAATAAAAAAAATTTTTCAGGCGAATGGAAATGAAAAAAAAAATAAGCTGGGGTAGTAATATTTATATCTGACAAATTAGACCTCAAAGTGAAGCCATAACAAGAGATAGGGAAGGCCACTTCATAATACTACAGAGAGCAATTCAGCAAGAGGATATAACTCTGGTAAACATATATGCAGCCAATACAGGGGCACCCAAATACATTAAAAAAAAAAAAAAAAAAACTTCTAGAAGATATCAAGGGAGAGATCAACAACAACACAGTCTTAGTAAGGGACTTTAATACCCCAATGACACCACTGGATAAATCCCCTAAACAAAAAATCAGCAAAGAAATCTAAATGACTTACTAGATCAGATGAACTTAACTGACATCTTCAGAACATTTCACTCCAAAGCTACCGAATATACATTCTTCTCAAGTGCACACATGTCATTTTCAAAGACAGATCACATATTGGGACACAAGCAAATTCTCTTCAAATTCAAGAAATAGAAATCATATCAAGCATCTTCTCAGACCACAATGGCATAAAATTAGAAATCAACTACAATAAAAGAATGAAAAAAATCAAACACTTGGAGGCTAAATAGCATGCTATTAACCAGTGGCCATGGACCACTGGTGGTCCATTAGGTCCAAAAGGTTAGTGACCGCTGGTTTAAGGAAAACTTTGGAGCAGTGGTCACCAACCAGTGGTCTGTGGACCACTAGTGGCCTGTGAGATCCAAAAGGTTGGCGACCACTTTATTAAACAATGATTGGGTTACCAAAGAGATCAAAGAAGAAATAAAATGCATCCTGGTAACAAATAACAATGAAAACACAACAATCCAAAATCTATGGGACACCGTGAAAGCAATCTTGAGAGGGAAGTTCATAATTCTACAGGCTTACCTCAAAAAACAAGAAAAATGGTAACAAATTATCTAACCCTACAACTCAAAGAATTAGAGAGCAACAAGAAAAGCCCAGAGTTAGCAGAAGGAAGGAAATAATAAAGATCAGAGAGGAAATAAATGATGTAGAGACACACACAAAAACAAAAACCTCCAAAACACAAACTAAAAAACA